CCCCCCCCCCCCCCCCCCCCCCCCCCCTCTTACTGTAGATGTATCGTTGTACCAAAATTGGACGCCCTCTTTTAGGACCCTGGCTAAAAGTCTGCATAAGAGCTTTATTAAACGAATCTTCCCAGGTAACCGGGCCATCCCAGCTGCATATGAACAGTCCCCAAGCCTCGTTTGATAAGACAACGGAAATATCATGAACTAATCTGCGCTGTTTCAACATTCAAACACAAAAGCCACACAATGAACAGTGGGCAATTTATTTTATATGAACATTACAACCATCTTCCTAGAACCTTAGTTTCTGGAAAAACCACTTGTTTTTTCCTGTCTTGTATCTAGATGTAAAAAAATAATACAATGATGAGCACATACAGAGAAAATACATATTTACTTATACTAAAACGCTTGTTTTATGTATATACTTTAGCTATAGAAAGCATGAGCAGTCGATATGTACCTGATTCACAATGCGAGCCATGGTAAACATGATACAAATTGGATGGGAATGCTATTTATAATATAGCATTTGTAAATTCTGAACGCTGATTGGCTAAGAGCCGTGTTGATATAACTCAATGTCAACACGGAAACGTCGGAAAATTTATTTCTTTTTTTCTTTCTTTGTGCTATATTATATCAACACTTGTGGAAATTGGGAAAACTCGAAATTGTGATTTAGTGATTGTGAGGTTCATAAGTTTTCAAGCTAGAGTGGATCGATATACCGGATATATCCGGTATACCGGTATTTATTTAGATACCGGTTTGGCGATATTGACAATTTAAAAATACCGATATACTGACATTTCGCTATTTTGCTGCCTAATACCGAATTGAAACGCTATTTCAAGTCAAACTTGCTTACAATCACGTTTAGAAAGCAAAGTTAATACTCACAGATTCAACACTTCGACGCCCAATCGGCGGCCTACTAATAATTGCCGCTTAGCGCCGTTAACATAGCTTGATAATGCGAATCTTGTGACATTTGCACTAATAACAGTATGTGCCACATTAATATTTTGTCAAAACTTGATTTTTCTCGACGGTCAGCAGTTCAGTTTGGCTTAAAAAAAAACACGTTAAAAATACCGGTATACCGGCATTCTGATGGCGGTATATCGGTATTTGCGATATCGATCCACTCTATTTCAAGCACTTTTGAAAAAATCACTGTCCGGTGGATAAAACCCGCCCCAAAATGAAACATGCTATATCAGTCTATTAGTATTTATAGTTGCCAAAGTTTCAACATCTGGTATCCAAAATTTGGAACTGGTATTATCAGGACACTACAATCTTGGAGATAACGCTGAGACCGTTTCAGCCAATATTGAGTTAGTGTACGTTGGCAAAACAAACTTTGCCATCCTCTCCCTCCAGTTCAATGCTGTGAACAACGCCGAAACAACTTTTGGTAATTTACCACGACACAAGTTCAACATTGAGTTGAGGGAGCGAGGGCTTAAAAGGCCCAACATGATTCAACATGGAATCTATTCATGCATGTAGAAAAGCTTCCTATAGGTGTGCTGGGCCAAGACGAAATTTTTCGTGACCAAACTGAAAAATCATCTTGCAAGTTGCAAGTTGCAAGCAAAAGTTTACATAAGAAATTAAGAATGATTATTACAACGATTAAATGACACAAACTGAAAAAAGTCACCACATTACTGTAGAATAGTCAACATAGTGATGATTACTGTTGAAAATCCGAACTGTAACAGTTCACACTTGTCTGTTAAACTTAATTGATGATTGAAATTGAATTATCAAATATCAATTATGAAATATGAATGCTTCAGTTCTAATACTTAATTCTTCTGCACAAATCACAAATGTTCCTTCCAATGTGTATTATATGATACTTTCTGAATTCTCATCCTCACAAGTCACAAATTATGTGATGTAAAATCACTAAAATAGTCCTCAGTTGAGTCAGTTCGAAGAAACTTTAGATTTTCCTGTGGCCAGCCAGATTCCCGAGATCTCTTGGCCTAGAGATCCCAGGCTTTTCCTGCTACAGCACTGAATATCCAATTTGAAATTTTTATTCGCCAAGACGAATTTTTTCCTTTTCTACAGGCATGTCAGATTTATCATAAGGGGTACGGGAATTTTGTATTGAGGGGAAGGTCTCAACCAGTTATGTCCAAGATTGTAGCATGCTGCATATCTCAAACCCTGGCCAAACCTATGTAATGCATAAGAGTGTAGGTAGTGTATATTTATCTTAGGTTCGGCACATTGAACTAGACGTAATACACGTTTTCATACTTTATAATTTCTTCAAGTAAATTTCCAACAATACCTTTCTTCAAATTTCGATTTCACCTCAGTCCTTGCTTTACGTTTTGCTGCGGCATCTTTCAAAACATCTTTGTTCACGACACTTTTGTCAATCTGTACATCAACAGAGTATCTGTATAATAAAAATACACTGGACTGAGAATTTTTCAGAACCATCCTCAGATGTATGAAAAATCAGTTTCATGTTATTCTGACACTGCAGAATACAATCAGAACTTCGTTCGAACTCGGGTATCTAGACCATTGGACAATCGAGTCAACGGGGATTGGTAGGCAGTCTTATACAAGGTTGGTTTACACTCGAGCAGGTAAATCCTAAGTATTGAAGGATTTGTAAAGGCCCGTTTACACTTGCAATTTTTGATGCGATTTTCTTCTTCTGACGCATGTGAACGAGTAGATGAGTTAGGAATGATCTGAATTTATGTACCTTCATCTGAACATTCACAACTCATCCACTCGTTCACATGCGTCAGAAGAAGAAAATCGTAGCAAAAATTACAAGTGTAAACAGGCCTTTAAACTGACTCGGTATTTAACAATGAGTCAGTACCCTCGAAACATTTCTTACAAATCCTTCCAAACTTAGATTTACCAAAAGTACATGCAAAATAGGGTTGGGCGATATTAAAAAAAAACTCATCTCACGATTATTGTCAAGGAAATTATCACAATATTCGATAATATCGCGATAAATGAAATAAAAACAATGATTAATTTTAATTAATATCAAGCTGCATGGATAGTAAGCTTATATATAATCTTACTAAAAACAAGTAAAACAACAAATTAAAGTAATATAAAGGCTTTTCCTAAACCTAAACTGTCTACGCAATGTCTACTGTGTCTCCGCTGTTTCGCCTGCAATTTCATTTCTATCATTTTATCGTATTAAATTCAGGAAATAGTTTTAATTCTTTTAAAACTATATTTTCTAGGAATTGAAAGAATTTTTTTAGGATTTTATAAAAGCTATATACACATGCGAAGCAATATCACGATAGTCATCGGACATGACGATAATTTCGATATATCGTCGCCCAAGTTTCTACCTTCGATACGATAATCGCGATTGAAAATATCGCGATAAATCAAAATATCAAAATATCGCCCAACCCTAATGCAAAATTCCAACTATGACCAAAGAAATTTTGATAGTGTAAACCAGGCTTTACCCAATTTAAGTACAGGAAATATTTTCCCAACGACTGCACAGTGTTTCAATTCTGTTTCAGAACCATCCTCGGAGATATGTAAAACAAGTTTCATAATATTCTGACCATAGATATCTTATATACACTAGATAGTGCATCTAATTATTCTGCAATTCAAAAATTGAAGCTGTGATTGCAGTCTCAGGTCGTTCCCATGAAATGAGGAGATTCGCATGTTTTCTATTTCTTAAACAGGGAACTTTAACATTAAGTTAACCCTATTCCAAATACGTTTTTAAACTATTCGGATGATGAAAGTTATTGTTGTTTTTAAGCGTTTATTAGCAAGTGGGAACGACCAACATGGCCGCCATCTATTCAAATGGGGGTAACCGCTGGAATATTCTTGGCTTCAATTTTACTAAAAGAGATGCGCTATCTAGTGTATATAAGATATCTATGATTCTGACACTGGAGAGTACAGTACAACGAAAAATCGTTGTCTCGAGAGGGTTCGAACTCGGGTACCCAGACCCAGGGTCTTAGCTAGAGGGCCGTGTTGGCAGTGTTATCGCGGCCAAAAGTGGAAAAACACGGCTAGATAAAATGAACGCGGCTTCATTATTTATATAAGGCCGTGTAGGTTCATAAAATAAGGTCTTGCTACTTACAACAGACAGAAAAATCTACTGTAAAATCTACTGTTGTTGTTGAAATTGGAAAAAGTGATCTGTGATGAGTTTAATGTTTTGATGGATAATGGGAACTGTATGGTGTTAAAATGGTTTTAAATACCCCAGGAGTTGCTCAAATTACTGGTTGTAAAGCATAGAACAACATGTTGTTGGCGAGCATAACTAGAACCGTGATTTTGCTATTCAAGGTAAGTGACATGTGCACGCCCTGGTCATTAGAAACACGCCCAAGATCTAAAATCCTAGCTAAGACCCTGCCCAGACCGCTCCGCCCACTGAGCTATCGAGTCAATTGATAGCGAGTCTTATCCAATTTAAGTGCAGGAAGTATTTTCGCGACGACTTTTAAAAGCTTGTCTTGGAGGACGCGCAGTGTTTCAAGCAATATTTCAAAATCAAATGATTTCAAAACTAGATTTCAAGTCTGGAGGACTGGATCGAAATGCGAGGAAATCTAGGAGGATTTGAAATGACATCTCATACGTAAATCACTACTTAAAGTGAGGTGAATTAATTTTGATCCAGTCCAAGGACTGAATTAATTCACCAGGTATCCAGTATTATCATGTGAGCAATATGGTTGGCTAATTTACTCACGAATTATTAATGAGTTTGAGATTTCTATTTCAGAAATATCCTCAGGGATATAAAAAACAGGGCGTTAACTCAATGGCCCGATAGCTCAATGGGCAGAGCGAGGATCTACTTATCATTGTCGAGTAATATGAAACTGGCGAGAGAGATAGCAATTGCATTTTAATTATTTCCAATGAAAAAGTCACCATTAACTCTTGGAAGACTAAACAGAAAAATACCAAGAGGCAATTCTGGGGTCTGTCAAATGATGACATGATTACTGAACATGGGTATTACTATCGCATTGGAGGTTACCAACCTAGCCTACTGCCTACAGTGCCTTCTTGCCATTGTATTGCGGCATTGATTATATTATCTACAGCGTTTACAGTAAATAACCAGGATCTGAACATTAAATTTTCTTTAATTTCAGTACCACTGTCTCACTTCTGGATACGTGCTACCAAAGATTTGGCATCCCTGACTCATCCAAAAAAGTATACCCATGTCTCTCACTGTTTATAGGAATTACAATAACAGGACGCTGAACAACTAATTGCTTGACAGTGAACAAGTTGGCATCGAAGTTAACATGCTAAGGAGCTGTTTACATGATTCAGCTTCGCCGGGACGAGATGTTAAGCGAGATTATGTTGATGCATCGAATTGTCAATGGTGCACGATTCAGCATTTGGAACTACAGTACATCATTTTCTAGCAATAGATAATAGTCTAATTGTAAACGAAGGGTTGTTCAAGCAAGAATAAAATAATCTTCTTCAATTATAAAGATCTTCTCGACAACATTTGAGTTCTTTTAACAGGCGTTTGAACTTTAGTTATTTTAACACATCAAAATTCAAAATCATTCCCTTCCATCACGTCCTGGCAAACTCTTACTCAGATCATGTAAACAGCCTCAAAGATGAACATAAACCTTCGACGTGCTAGCAGCTATGTGCAAAGGCTAGTTAGTCAGGGTGTTAGCTAGCCCATATACTGTCCGTTTGACGGACTCTTCCCAATTGAAGTAGCTAAGGGGCTTTCCCAACTGGGTCTACTGGAAAATTTTCATTTTTTCTGATGAGAAAGTGCATTGCGTTTTTTGCATTCATTTACTTTTTCCCATTATTAACTATTTTCTCAAAATGTATCGCCTTTCATTCATATTGGGTGTGTATTCACTGAATTGAAATGTACAAAACAAAGTGTAATGGGTCTGCATCCGTGTTCATTCACCGGAAATGAAATATACAAAGCGAAGTGCCATCGGGTGCATTTTTCAGTGTTCATTCACCGGAAACGAAATGTACAAAAACAAGCTACCGTTGTTTGCATCTAAGGAGAAACACGTTGGGAAAAAAACACTATTCATTCCTACACAAGGACTTTGATCGGTCAAAAAACTTTCCCAATTTACGTTTAACGCGGACGAAACTGTTTTTTCTGGCTAACACCTTGTTAGTTTCAAGATGGCAGAATGATAGTATTCGTAAGCTATCCTGTTTGAAATTTTGTACTATCCAGTCAGGATACAAATCATTCACAGTTTGGTATCCAAAAACAGAACTTCAAAATTTTATTACTGCAAAACGAGGGATATTGCAAACTTCAGATGCTGAATTATTACAAATTATAATCTAATTTTATACTTGAGAACAGTGTGCGACTAGGCAGTATGGAGAACAGCGAGGTTTGTGAAATAAAGAAAACAACAAACCACTGATTCTGCTTCCTCTATATAGACTATTACTATACAAAATGTTTTTGGCCTAGCTAAGTAGCCTTATTTAAAAATATCGATAAAAATCGGGTTTTTCAAATTATCGGAGAAATATTTTATATTATACATGTCTATACTGTTACCGAGTATGTTGTCATTGATATCGTACAATTTGCCAATTTTGTTAACCATTATGCATATGGTTTTGGATTTTGGTAGTTGTTACGGTTTTGGTTTAAAGTACTGTGACAAGTGACAAACGTCCCTCTTGAGAATAACGAAGTGTCCGATCATGTCCGACCAAAACATGGGTTGATCTGACACAATGTCAAACCAAGTTATCAGAATTATATTGAACTCTGAACATCAGCCCCACAATCACAAAATCACTGGGCAGCCCATACAGTACCTACTCTATCACATGACTGGGTGTAGCATGTGGGCTTAACTCAACTGACCAGACAATATCTGCGTCCCTCCGTACCACGCGGGTGGGTGGTCGTAGGTAGACAATGAAGTTGAGTAAAAGAGATGATTGGGCATTCTGGCATGTTGCAGCCTAAACTAATTAACCCTTATTAATAATCAGGCCTCGAATTTGAGAAAAATTAAAGCAAGGCCAGTCAGCACACAGGGCATCAAGATTCAAGGCCAGTTGAAAATTTTATTCAGTTGCTATTTTGAAGTTTCAAATAACGTTCGAGTTTCCATGAGACAAGAAAAATATACAGAACAGCAACAGTTCAATATTTTTAAAAAATGCCAAACAAAACTATGGATATTTGTGGTGTTACTCTGAGTGTATATCCACACCGGGCGAGCTTGAAAAACATGCCCGGCCACGGTGGGATTCGAACCTACGACCTTTGGAATACTAGCCCAATGCTCTTCCAACTGAGCTGCGCGGTCAGGACGGTTCGAGTAAGTGATATTTCGGAACAGAATCTAGTTCCTTCGATACCAGTGTAATCTTGTAATATGATTATTTCTGTGTTGGTGTTGTGTACACAGGTGAATATGATATTTGTAATGTTACTCTGAGTGTGTATCCACACCGGGCTAGCTTGAAAAATATGCCCGGCCACGTTGGGATTCGAACCTACGACCTTTGGAATACTAGCCCAATGCTCTTCCAACTGAGCTACGCGGTCAGGACGGTTCGAGTAAGTGATATTTCGTATAGAATCTAGTTCCTTCGATACCAGTGTAATCTTGTAATATGATTATTTCTGTGTTGGTGTTGTGTACTCACGTGAATATGATATTTGTGATGTTACTCTGAGTGTGTATCCACACCGGGCGAGCTTGAAAAATTTGCCCGGCCACGGTGGGATTGTATTCCAAAGGTCGTAGGTTCGAAGATATATATGAAGATATATATGTGACACCTAGGCTTTGTCTGGCGAAAATCGACTTGGTATGATTGACAACTGTTCGACTTTTGGTGTCGTCTAACTTTGCAACTTCCACATAACGAGAGTAGTAGTCTACCACTAACAAATAATCTTTCTGTTCTCAATGAAAAAGATCAGTGGCGACTGTTTCCAACGGTCTACCAGGTAATGGGGATTCAATCAGTGGCTCTTTTGGTATTTGACGACTGATGCTCTTGACAAATGTCACACTTTGATATCAGGTCATTGATCTGTTCGTTCATCTTTGGCCAGAAAATTATATCTCTCGCTCGACCTCGACATTTCTCAATTCCCATATGGCTATCATGTACTCGAGCTAACATCTGACTTCGTAACACTGTTGGTGTAACTATCCTGTCTCCTTTCATAATGACACCCTCGATCTCTGACATTTCATCCTGATAATTCCAAAACTCGTGGATTTCTACCGGTGTCTGTTGTCTGAACTGCGGCCATCCTCTACGAATCACCGTCAAAAGAACCATCATCGTCGGATCTTTTGATGTTTCTTCTCGAATCTTCTCCAGTTTATAATTATCTGTTAATACAGGTATTCTGTGCAAAACAGAGTGTATATTTTCGACTTCGTCTTCCATGTGGCTTTCATCTGGCTCTGAGTTTGGAACGTATGTTCTGGAAAGAGTGTCTTCGAATACGATTTCTTTTCCAGGCTTGTACTTTACGATAAAGTCATATCTTTGTAGGCGCAATAACATTCTTTGTAGGCGAGGTGGTGCCATCGAGAGAGGTTTCTTGGTTATTGCCTCCAGTGGTTTATGATCCTTCTCGACTTCCACGGGTCGTGCAAAAGTGTATTGAATAAACCTTTCGAAACCAAATAATACGGCTAGCAGTTCTTTTTCGATTTGGGCGTACCTCGTTTCTGCATCAGTCAAGGCTCTTGACGCATATGCAACGGGCTTTGAATCCTGTAACAACACCGCTCCCAGATCTGATTTAGAGGCATCACAAGTTATTGTCACTGGTTTGCAATCGTCGTAATAAACTAGTACTGGCGCAGCAGTGAGGATTTCTTTTATTTTCTGAAACGATTCTTCTTGGCGGCTGCCCTACTCGAATTGCACGTCATTCTTCATCACGATTCTAATCGGGTCGGTGATGATAGACATGTTGGGGATAAATTTCGTAGTTGACCATTCCCAATAGTCTCTCTGCGTCTTTCTTGCAAGTAGGTGAAGGCATTTTGTTGATGGCATCAACTTTCGACTCGTCTGGTTTAACCCCTTGTGCGGTTAGTTTATGGCCAATGTACACGACTTCAGTTGTACCAAATTCGCATTTGCTCTGGTTTAGGGTAAGGTTGATTTCTTCACACCGCTGTAGCGAATTCTTCAGACGCTGATCATGTTCTTCGGTTGTGGTACCCCAAACTAAGATATCGTCAACGTCGGTCTCTACGCCTTCAAAATCACCGAATAATTGGCTCATACGCTTCTGAAACACTTCCTGGGCGGACTTAATTCCAAAAGACATTCGCTTATAGCAATATCGATCAAATTCCGTGTTAAACGTTGTTAGCAACTGGCTTTCGTCATCTAATGCGACTTGCCAATAGCCGTAGTTAGCGTCTAACTTCGAAAACACCGTAGCTCCTGCGACACGTTATTTCTTCAATGGTTGGCATCGTGTAGTGCTCTCTCTGGATCGCTTAATTTAATGGTCTTGGGTCTAGGCAAATCCGTAACTTGTTGCTGTTAGGTTTCATTACCACTACAACAGAATTGATCGACTTTCTCGATTACCCCATCTGCTTCCATTTCATCCACGGACTGTTTAAGTCGATCTCTCAGCGCTACCGGTTGACTCTTCAATGTGCTCACAACTGGAGTAACTTTTGGGTCCACTTGGATATGATAGGGTTTCTTGAAACAACCAAGCCCTTGAAAAACTTTAGGAAATTGACTGGCCATATCATTGACAGATTTCGCCGTCGTATTTTCTCGCTTTGATAACTTTACGTTCATAACCAACTTGATTAAGTTCAGATCTTTCGAGGTCTGTAAACCCAAGATAGGTACTTGCTTCGTCTCAACAACAAAAAACTTCTAAATTTTGTCATTACATTTCAAGTAACATTGTCCCAATACCGGCAAATGTTCTCCCGTGTAGCTTGTGAGTTTGACTGCTGTCGTCTCGAGCTGGACATCTTCTAAACTTCTAAACGTTGTTACGCTACGGGGAGTATATTAGCTTGCGAACCGGCAGCGCAGGTTTTACACAGTGGCAGATGCGGCATATGCCACGGGCCCCGCGCCTTCCAGGGCCCCGCGATGTGGCTAAAAGTATATGATGCTATATTATTAATTATTATTTATGCAAGCTGTTATTCACCAAAAGTGCCCACTTGCCGAGTATGTGCCTTGCGCCGCACATTCTCTCAATGTAGTCGGCCAATCAGCAGTAAGTTGCTGTCTGGAATCTGTCGGATTTTTTGGCTTTGTCCAAGGTTTATATTCTTTCCTCGTCGCTTCAACACACCGTTGGAAAGTAGTCCATAATCGGCTGAAAGAAAAAAGGCTTGCCCACAGTAAAACGTCTATCAGACACTCCCTGGTGAGCGCATGCCGCCGCTGTTAAAGCCGTGGTCAAGGGCTTCGAAGAAATCAAAGCTGGATTGAAAGAGATTGCTGCAGATCCAGAGCAGAAAGGAGATACTCGAAAAGAAGCTCTAAATCACGCTTCTAATATGGATCGTTTGGAGACTGGCATACTTACTCTGGTATGGCACCGTATCTTGAAGTGTTTTAACAGTAACAGCCAATTGCTTCAATCCGCGGATCAAGACATTAACTCGGCTGCTGCTATTTATGAATCCCTGGAAGAGTATGTGAAAAATATGAGACCAAAATTTGAGCAGTTCGAGGCTGAAGGAAAATTGCTCAGTGGATACGAACATTACGAAGACGAAATGAAATGAAATCGCCTGCGGAATCGTCGTTATGATGAACCAGGAACAGTTCCGGAAGTAGAACTTACACCTGCCGATAATTTTCGAACGGCAACGTTTTTGGTTATTATCGATAGTTTGGTTGCTGAGTTGAAGAAACGTAAGGAAGCATACGTCACGCCACTGTTGCATCAAGGTTTGGATTTTTAAGAACTATGAAGGAGCTACCTGACGACAAACTGACACTGAGTGCAAATCAGCTTTGTAAAATTTACCCAGGTGACCTTGAGCCGAGTCTTTCTGACGAGTTCTATTACAGTTTTCTGCCTTCCTGAAAACCGAGCTTGCCGAGAGTTACCTGGATTCGTCAAGCTCTGTAGAAGCACCATCCCTTTCTGGAATCCCTTCCTCGCCCGCACCATCTGAGGATTCTTCAGCGCCATCTTCACCAGTTATTACAACTCCAAGTGATGATGAAGATATGTCATTCATCGATAACGATGAGCTGCATGAGCATGATCAAACCATGGAATTTGAAAACAATGGTGCAATGA